TGGTCGTGGGGTGGATCTGAGAACCCCGCGCGCACGCGTGTCTCCCTCCTTTCCTGGGCCACCGAACTGGCCCGGTACTCGGCGGCCATCTGGCTGTCGATCTACCCCGCATTCCTCCTGAGGAGGAATGCCATTCAAGCATGCCATAATCCCCCACGGGGCCGTTCACGTGGGGATCTTGTAATTCAACCTGTGACTTGGTTTATAGAGATTGGGGGATACCACTACAGCACAAGCGCCAACATGTGACGATTCGTAATGTGATTGGATGTCTGGAGGGGCCAACAAGCGGCTGCAATGCCTGTGCGCCCTGTCTTCGCTTGTCCAGGCCCCCCCCTCCTCCCTTGTCCTCAGACAGACCTGAGCCCACCTTTCGTGCAGAAAGAGAGTGGGAGAGAGAGAGGGGGGGGGGCGACACTTCGACATACGCCCCGAAAGAGAGGGCTGCCCTTGGGAAGGGCGTTCGTGTGCATACCTCCCTCCACTCGCGATTGGGACCTGTCTGTCCCGGACAACCGGGCTCCTTCCACACAGCTGCCCGGACCTCGCAAGCCTCGTCGAAGCCCCTCAAAAGTATATGGCTCGCCATGGCGTCCCCCGGGGGGGGGGCAGCGCAAGTGCCCCTAGACCCTTCGCCATCCTGCATCTCCCCCCCCCCCCTCTGCCCCGTCGTCCCCCTGCCCCGCCTCTCCGTGTTGCCTCTCCTGCCCTCCCCGTAGTCCCGTAGTCCCGCAACCCCGCAGCCCCCCGGCAACCCCGAGATGTACTCGGTCTATCTCTGCCTCGGTCTGTTGGCCGTGGCGCCGATCGTGGCCGCCTCCTACATGGCTCCCCCGGTGATCGGCGGCAAGACGCCCAAGAAGTCCGCCGCGGTGCGCCCAACAGACATGCCTGCTTGATTGGCCCTACTTCACCTCCTGCGCCCCCATCTATCCCTCCCTCTCCCCCCTCCCCCTCCTCGCCCACTCCCGCTAACACACATACACACACACACACATACATACGTAGGCTGAGGTCCTCGGCGAGTTGGACGCCTACACCTTCCCGATCTACGGGTCGATTATGCTCTTCAGTCTCTTCCTCATTCTGAAGTATGTGCCGAAGGAGTGGTCGGTTCTGGCCATGAAGGGTGCGCCGTGGTGTTTGTCGTCCCACTTGGGCGGGGTGTCCTGCCGCCATGTCGCACTAGACACCACCCCCTGAAGAATGAGGCTAACCGCGCTGCCCATGCGCTCTGCCCATGTAGCCTACTTCACCCTGATGGGTGTCTTCCTCACTGTGGACACCCTGCGCGACGTGATGATCGGCGGTCTGGCGCGCATTGGCATCAAGGTCCCCGACTACGAGGCCATCTCCCAGCAGGCTGAGGGCGCGGCTCCCGCACTCGACGGCAGCCTCTTCGGCCGCCTGACCCGCCCCTACCACCTGCGCCTGTCGCGCTTCGGGTCTTCCGAGTGTGCGCACCGACGTCACGTCAGCCCTTCCCCCTCCTCTCCTCCTGACGCCTCTGGCCCTCTGACCAACCACTGTCCCCTGCCGCTCCTCCTCCTCTTGGGTCCCCTCTTTCTCCCCGAAGATCTCTTCGAGCTGGACTTCGACATCTTCCACCTGCTCAGCATGGCCATCACCCTGCCACTGAATGTGGCCTTCTTGATGACCGGCAACTGGATTGTCAACAACATCCTGGCGCTGCTCTTCTCCTACCGCGCCCTTTGCTCCATGCGCATCGACACCTTCCGCACCGGGTTCATCCTCCTGGTGGGGCTCTTCTTCTACGACATCTTCTGGGTCTTCGCCACTCCGGTCATGGTGCATGTGGCCAAGAACATTGACGCCCCGGTCAAGCTGGTCTGGCCGTCAGTGGGCGCCGATGGGGCGGTTCGCTTCTCCATGCTCGGTCTTGGGGACATCATTATCCCAGGTGCGTGGCGCTGAACATGCGCGCAACGAGCGCACTGTCCAGTCTCCCTCCTCCCTCTCCCTCGAGCGCGCGCGCATACACACAGACACACACTTCCCCCTCGCCGCTCCTCCTCTGACGCACTCTCCCCCCTGGGGCAAAAAGGCATCTTCATCGTCCTCACGATGAGCTTCGATCTGTTCCTCAAGAAGAAGCGCATTCTGGCCGACCTCAAGCGCAAGTCGCCCGACGTGCAGAACCCCTCGCTGCCAACCATCTCCGTCTGGACGCACGGGGCCAATGTGTACTTCCGCTCGGCCATGCTGGCCTACTGCCTTGGCCTGGTGGCCACCGTTGTGGTGATGATCTTTTTCAAGTCGGCCCAGGTGCGTAGGCACACATGCGCACAAAGATACCCAATGACATTCATGGCCTCTGACACCCTGACAACCACCACCACTACCACCACTACCATCACCCAGCCTGCCCTGCTGTATCTGTCCCCTGCGTGCATTGCCGCGGTGGCCATCCCGGCCTTCCTGCGTGGCGAGTTCAAGGACGTCCTTTCCTTCAACTCGAGCTCCTTGGAGGAGGACGAGCCAACCCCCGAGGCAACCGGTGCGGCGGCCGTCACTGCCGACGCCGACAAGACCGACTAGGCTACCGGCATACCCCTCCTCGACCTTTCTCTCTCTCTCTCTCTCTCCTGTGAATCACATATATATACATACGTGTTTGTTTCTTCTTTCTTCCTCTTTTTTCATCTGCATCAGAGACTGAGATTAGGCGGTCAACGACACACCCCTCCAAGGCGAGAAAGCGGGGATATGTATTCTATCAGCCACCTGCAAATGGCGCTCTGCCCATGGCACAATGATGGGAACTGGAGGAAAGACGCGAGTGTAGTGGGGCATCAAATGCACCCTTTCGGGAGGGAGCACGGACAACCCCGAAGGATGGACGCTAGTTCGCAGCCTCGACGGCCGACTTGTGCTTCTTGCTGGGAACATCGTCGATAGCCTCGGCGGGACGCTTCTCCCCCACGGAAAAGGTCACTTCCATAGGAGTCGCACTGCCCTCTGGAGCATGGACAAGCCCTTCGCCGGTAGTGGCGGTGGTGTCGGCGATAACTGTGGCCGTGGCAGTGGTGGCGGTGGCGGCGGTGGCGATGCTGTCCGCGGCGGTGGTGGCGACGCTGTCCGCGGCGGTGGTGGCGACGCTGTCCGCGGCGGTGGTGGCGACGCTGTCCGTGGCGGCGGTGGCGACACTGTCCGTGGCGGCGGTGGTGATGCTGTCCGTGGCGGCGGTGGTGATGCTGTCCGCGGCGGTGGTGGCGATGCTGTCCGCGGCGGCGGTGGCGTTGGCCGTAGCGATACTGGCCATGACGGCAGTGGCGACGCTGTCCGTGGCAGTGGTGGCGACGCTGTCCGCGGTGGCGTTGGCGTTGACGGCGGCTGCGGCCGCGGCGGCATCACGCAGGGCTGAGCGGACGGCTTTGGATCGCGGGGCTGGAGAATGAACCGACGGGGGAAAGGATCAACAAAAACATGTTGGGAGGTATAGGAGCGAGGTGGGGGTTGTAGAGATGGCCACCAATCGGGCCGAGGCGGGGCAGGTTTCTTTGAGGGTTTTGAAACGGATTGGGCGGAAGGTATCGATGGATGTGTGGTCGAGGAGACGGGTTTCCGACCACCAGTGCCGAGAGTGCGCGCGCGCGCGATTGTGATGAATGGATCATCGGCGAAATCAGTGTCAGAGACAATGGGGGAAGGGTCGTCAGTGACGGCGGCGGCGGGAGTCGATGCAGTCGCCAGCAGAGGCGAGCCCGCGAGAAACTTAGGGTTAGTGGCAAACTTTAACTCGATGGCTGAGGCAGGGGGAAGAAGGGGGGAGGGGGGATGGATCTAACATGTGCAAATTCGCACAAAGGCGCACGTGTAGTTTCGGGATCCGCAAAGGGGAAAGAGGCGGTGGGAACAGTGTGAAAGCATGGGTGTAAGTGCCGATAGGGTATATCCGCGAGTGTGTGTGTGTGTGTGTGTGTGCTTGAAATTGTGTCATCGGGGTGTTATGATTGGATCGTACTCGAGTAGCCAGTGGGCAGGGGGGGTAACCATAAGGAGGTGAGCCAGAGAGAGAGAGATAGATAGATGGGTGGAGAGACATGTGTAAGAGGAAAGCCAGGAGTAGATGCGGAGGGAGGTGAGAGAAGTGGGATCCCATCGAAGAAGGCAAAGAGAAGAAGAGAATGGGGGGATGTGCGCACCGGACAACGAAGTCCGGTAATCCATGCGGCTGATCGGGTACTCGGGGAAAACACGAGCCAAGACCTTGGAGAAGTCGTCACCCGAGTACACATGAATGGGACTGACGACAGCCAACCCGGTGCCAGGCCGGATGTACATATGAGCGGTGGCATGCGGAGACAGGGTCTCCAAAAGGACCCTCGGGGGGATGTCCTTCGGGACGGAAGACAGGACATAGGCCCGGAGCGGGGGAGCCACCGCAGGCGCGGGCTCCCCAGTACCGGTGAGGGTCTCCGGGGTCCGGACATCCTGGTCGACCTCCATGGCAGCGACAGCGGCATCATCGGCCTTCGAGGAGGGGGTGTCGGTGGTGCTGGCATCGGCAGCCATCTTCGGAGTAAGGATGGGCTCGGCATTGACTAGGCTAAAGCAGGGGAAGGGGCCAGCCACGATATTCAGCTGGTTTTCCAGGGCCAGAAGATGCGGGCAGAGGAGAATCTCCTGGCCATAGGTGGCCGGCAGGACACCCGGCCCTGGAGCTGGGGCCGCATGAGACTGGGCGACGGCGACAGCGGCGGGCCCGGTGCCCTCGGTCGAGGTGACGGATGTCGACTCGATCGGGCTGGTGGCGGTGGTGGTAGCGGCAACGGCCGTAGGAACCGGCCGACCGAGGACCAGATGATGATTCAAAGCGGCCAGCTTGAGGAAGACCACAGCGGTGCAGTAGGCATCGAAGCCAGCCTCATGGAAGGCGGCACTGTCGTCGGTGTACTTTCCGAACGCAGGCGGGGTGTCTGGGAGATGGCACGCGGGGGGGGGGGAGGCAGTTGCCGGATTAGGTCTCGGAAGCGGGACAAGCAGGTGAGAACGGCGAAGACGCACGGATCTTGACAAGGTCGAAGGCCGGGAGCTTGGTACTGTCGAAGATAGACCCGAGGGACATTTTGTCGATGTGTGGCTGCATCGACAAGGGGGGGGGGGGGGGGGGAGGGGGGGACAAAGGCGTGGCGCGGGCAGAGGGGGGGGGAAGCAGCGAGTGCGCACCGGACGACAAATAGGGGGGAGGGGGTGGGGGGGGGGGGAGAGGCGCAGGGGAGGTTGGGGGGAGAGGTAAAAATCCGAATTATCAAAGGTGTGAATCCCGGGGGGAGGGGGGGGGGGGGGGGGGGGGGGGGAGAATAGCAAAGGACGGCGACATTGTGCGGAGGGAGACATGCCATGGGTGGGGTGGGGGGTAGGTGTCAGGAAGGGCGAGGAGAGAAAAATACAAGGGTTGGGGAGGGCGGAGGCGCACCGCGGGAAAGCCTCATGAATGCGCTTGGACACGTCGTAGAGAGACGGCGGGAAGTTGGGCTCCACAAACTTGGAGTACGTGTGCAGCAGATCCAGGAAAAGATTATGCCCGACCAGGGGAATGCGGGCCTTGATGAGCTCGTCGATGACACTGCGGAAGCCGATGAGGTCGGCCATGTCGGTAGCCAGGGTAGCATGCGCGGCCTCGAGAGCGGCCTTCTCTTCGTCGGTGCACCGAGCGATGGACAGGGCGCCATGGCGGAACTTGCCCTGCAGGGAGAAGCCGTACGCCTGCCGAATGTGCAAGTTCAGGAGCAGGTGCTCCTGGTAGGACATGGGGATGGACAGCGGCTCGGAAGGGCTCTGCAGCCAGGTGGCGATGTCCTTCCTGTGTGGGGGGGGGGGGGGGGGGGATGATGATCGTGGTGGCAGTGGAGGAACATGCGTCAGTGGCAGTGATGGCAATGGTGCCGCCGCATTTGTTGGCACACGGGCGAGAACCATCGAGGAGGGGCGAAAAAAGCGCCGTCAGATCGAAAGCCAAAGGGACAGGAGCCCGGGAGGGGTGTGGAGGAGGGCGGAGAGAGGGGCAGCCGAAGGGCGTACATGAAGGTGGCCATGGTGGTCGCTGTGCCCTCCGGCGCGCGGGCCATTTGCTTGGCGATCAGGTCGGGAATATGGCCGATGCCCTTCTGGAACTCGAGCTCGGCCTGTTGCTCGTGCGTCAAAAAGTTGATCCCCTCATAGATCCACTTGTTGAAGTCGAAATTGAACTTCCGCAGGAAGTCCATGCCAGAGTACTGGAAGGAAAAGCATCGGTTGGAGGGCCGCAGGTGCTCGGAGGACCGGGGGCACAGGTAGAAGTTGTAGGTCCGGGTCTCGAAGCACTTGTCGGTGGAGTTCCACCGGACCAGGCACAAGCCATACTGCAGGATGGCAATGCCGTCCGGGTGCCGGCAGGATCGGGACACCTTCTGGTAGAAGTCATGCAGGCTGTCCCCCGGGCCAGGGACCGAGTCATTGGCGAAGAGTCCGGACAACTCGGTGTCGATGGCGTAGAAGTCCGCTCGGTTGATCTCCTCCACGATCTGCGGCAGCATCTCGCGGAAGGTGGCGGAAGTGACGTCCATCCTTGAGATAGCAGCGAGGGGAGGGAGGGGGGAGGGGGAGGAGACGGGAGGAGAGGTACCACTGGGAGGGGATAGGACCGGTGCGCCAGCGGAGGGGGGGGGGGGGGCGGGGACTATATGACCAGGAAGAGTAAGTCGGGCGGTTTGTATCGCGCCTCTTCCGGCCCCCAGGGGATGGGAAGGCTCCCTGCTTTATGCTCTCGAGCGCTGCCCCCTCGCCCCTCCTTCCCTGCCCCGCCCCAAGGGCGAGTAGCCGCCCAGTCGGGCCGGACAGGGAACGTGGAGAGGAGGCATCCCTCTCGTTGAGAGCCCCCGCCCCCCCC